TCTTCATCTTCATCTTCATCTTCATCTTCATCTTCATGTTCTTCTTGGTGGTCTTCATCTCCATCATCTTCATGTTCTTGGTGGTCTTCATAATTTTCATGTTCTTCATCATCTTCATCTTCCCGAGGCGCTGCCCTCCATGCAGTTCTTCGTGGTGGGTGCCCATCCTCATCTTCATCTTCATCTTCATCCTGTTCTTCATGTTCTTCTTGGTGGTCTTCATCTTCATCATCTTCCTCATCTTCTCCACCACTTTCATCATCTTCTCCACCTTCGTCCTCCTCATTTCCACCACCTTCACCTTCATCTTCTCCACCTTCATCCTCCTCCTCCTCATCTCCACCACCTTCACCTTCATCTTCTCCACCTTCATCTTCTCCACCTTCATCTTCTTCCTCCTCATCTCCACCACCTTCATCTTCATCGTGTTCTCCACCTTCACCTTCATCATTTCCACCACCTTCACCTTCATCATCTTCTCCACCTTCATCTTCTCCACCTTCATCTTCATCCTCCTCATCTCCACCATCTTCACCTTCATCATCTTCTCCACCTTCATCTTCATCCTCCTCATCTCCACCACCTTCATCTTCCTCATCTTCTCCACCTTCATCTTCTCCACCTTCATCCTCTTCATCTCCACCACCTTCACCTTCATCATCTTCTCCACCTTCATCTTCACCTTCCTCATCTCCACCACCTTCACCTTCATCTTCTCCACCTTCATCTTCTCCACCTTCATCTTCTCCACCTTCATCTTCTCCACCTTCACCTTCATCATTTCCACCACCTTCACCTTCATCTTCTCCACCTTCATTTTCCTCCTCCTCATCTCCACCACCTTCACCTTCATCATCTTCTCCACCTTCATCTTCTCCACCTTCATCCTCCTCCTCCTCATCTCCACCATCTTCACCTTCATCATCTTCTCCACCTTCATCTTCCTCCTCCTCATCTCCACCACCTTCACCATCATCTCCTCCACCTTCATCCTCCTCCTCCTCCTGCAGGAGAACCCCAGCGAGGAGGACGCGGCCATCGTGGACAAGGTGCTGTCCATGCGCGTGGTCAAGAAGGAGGTGAGCGGCCGGGGCGGGGTGGCCGGAGCGGCCGGAGCGGCCGGACGTCCGGCCGGCCTTCCTCACCTCCTCCTCCTCCTCCTGGTGGTCCTCAGCTGCCCTCGGGTCAGGTGGTGGAGTCCGAGGAGTTCTTCGTCAAGTACAAGAACTAGTGAGTGTCCGAGCGCTCGTGGGCGGTCACTGGTGGTCACTCGGGGTCACTCGGGGTCACTGGTGGTCACTGGTGGTCACTCGGGGTCACTGGTGGTCACTCGGGGTCACTGGTGGTCACTGGTGGTCACCTGGGGTCATTTATGGTCATTTATGGTCAGTTATGGTCACTCGGGGTCACTGGTGGTCACTCAAGGTCACTTATGGTCAGTTATGGTCACTCGGGGCCACTGGTGGTCACCTGGGGTCATTTATGGTCAGTTGTGGTCATTCGTGGTCACTCGGGGTCAGTGGTGGTCACTCGGGGTCATTTATGGTCATTTATGGTCAGTTGTGGTCAGTTATGGTCACTCGGGGTCACTGGTGGTCACTCGGGGTCATTCGTGGTCACTCGGGGTTGGTGGTGGTCACTCGGGGTCACCTGGGGTCATTTATGGTCATTTATGGTCAGTTGTGGTCAGTTATGGTCACTTGGGGTCGGTGGTGGTCACTCGGGGTCATTCGTGGTCACTCGGGGTTAGTTATGGTCACTTGGGGTCATTTATGGTCAGTTATGGTCACTCATGGTCACTCGGGGTCACTCGGGGTCGGTGGTGGTCACTTGGGGTCATTTATGGTCATTTATGGTCACTGGTGGTCACTCGGGGTCACTGGTGGTCACTCGGGGTCATTTATGGTCAGTTATGGTCAGTTGTGGTCATTTATGGTCACTCGGGGTTGGTGGTGGTCACTCGGGGTCGGTGGTGGTCACTCGGGGTCGGTGGTGGTCACCTGGGGTCATTTATGGTCATTTATGGTCAGTTGTGGTCACTCGGGGTCGGTGGTGGTCACTCAAGGTCATTTATGGTCAGTTGTGGTCATTTATGGTCACTCGGGGTTGGTGGTGGTCACTCGGGGTCAGTGGTGGTCACTCGGGGTTGGTGGTGGTCACTCAGGGTCAGTTATGGTCAGTTGTGGTCAGTTATGGTCACTCATGGTCACTCATGGTCAGTTATGGCCACTTGTGGTCACTTGTGGTCACTGGGGGTCAGTTGTGGTCACTCATGGTCACTCAATGGTCATTTATGGTCAGTTATGGTCACTCATGGTCACTCATGGTCACTCATGGTCACTCA